CTTGTACGAAAACAGTTAACTTAAGACGATGACTAACAAACGATTATATGATGGGCCAGAGTTTCAGTAGATAATTGTTCCCCGCATTTAATTATGCGGTCGGTGCGGAAAATAGTCGTCACTGGCATGTAATAATACGGTCGGGGAAATAGTCGTCAAGTGCCTTTGATCATGCGGTCGGTGGGGGCTGTTTTTGCTTCCATCTGATCTTGAGGAATTTATAATTCACATTCAAATCAATATGCCTGTTAATGCATGCCTCGTCTGAGTGCATTGCCTCCAGAACTACGCGGCGCTTCCTAATTGGGTGGGCGCCAATGATTTGGATTCGCTCCCATGCGAACATGTGTCCAGTCTGTGCATGGCAACCTGTGATAGGTGGTCCTGACTCTTCGCCGCTAACATACAAATTTGCAATAAAATGAGGTTCCTAGTGTTCGATAATTCCTTATCTGTACGAGGATATCTATGAACGGCTATTGTTTATCAGTTTTTGTTTCGGAGGTTAATTGAAATCCTAGAAAGGTGGAGTCGATAGTTCTTGTATAGTAATTCCAGTTGCTCTTTTCTGAAGATAACAAATATATTGTCTTCATAATGCAGCCACAGTCTCTAGTTAACCACGCGATGAACTCGGTTGACCGCTTGCTAATTCGAGTGGAAACTGACTGTTCCAAGGAGGCAAAATCATCAAACAGAGATAGAATACACTTTATATGTATATCCCAGAATGGAAATCCTACTGAATTTTTTCACTGATGCATGCGGCTACAATAATTTAAGGAAACAATTATTTTCCGAGTGTTAAAACCATCAGGCTGGCGAAAGCCTCCCCTATGGACAGAAGGCGTCAAAACTCGTCGAAGTTGGCTATTTCAAAGTAATCATCTTCAAAATACCTTCGATCCGTTGCGATGCAGACTTTTGCGTCCAAACTAGGGAATCTCTCTTCACGTGCATACATGAACATTAGCTAACGGTAGGGAGACGTGGAAATCGACCCCAGGTAGCCATGCAGACATAGAAACAATATTTGCATGGAAGAAGGCCCCTCATCGCTGGTGCCTTACCAACAAAAGCACCGCAAACTGGTGGAGGCAATGCACCCAAATGAGATATATATTAATCAGTGTATCGATAAAGATACCATTTAAGAATTTCTCAATGTCAAAGGGCAATCAAACGCAAGTAATATCGACAAAATGCAGCTGACTCCTATTGGCTTATACGTTGGCCGGCCACAGAATAATTACTTAGACAGATTAAAACTAAGTATGTTTTGTGTGACTCCTAAATCTGACGATGAACTGAGGTACCACAGTCAAAAATTAAAATAGGAAAGGCTATTTCGTTTACAACGAACTTCGCCTGTCTCCAGAAAAGTTTCGTGAATTGACGATACTCCAATGCATATACTATACTGTACTGTACTGTACTATACTGTATGTATACTATATGTATGTATGTATATATCCTAGTACATAAAAACAATCTATACTCCTCCAGGTATGTTAAGACGTCGCAGTTAAATTTGCATATATAATTAAATTTTGCCCCTTATTTGAAATTCAAAACTCCGATCATAAACGAAAACCCATACAATAATCAGAGATATTATGGAAAGGTCGTCGGGCTTCGCATCAGTATTTCATAGTTCGACTGCTTGTTGCTATCACTTCGCCAATCATCCACAGGATGCTTTCGACCAACCGATTAACCCAGTTACTGGATACTTCGTTCAAAATTAGGGTCGGAGATACTTTCAGGCCACTTATTTTTAGCGAAACCCCAGCCGGAGGGTTCGTCTTCCTCAATGAGCTTATGTAGTCAATCGAACGAACGTCCGATGACGGACGAATGTTTATCCCATTCTTCTATTTAACAGTCTTAACTCCGGGACGAATGGATTTGAGTGAAGAATTATTCAGCACTATTGCAACATGTAATATTTCCTGCTTCCGAGTTCGAAGATATTATTTTATTGGAAAGCAGGACTCCCAAGAAATTTCATTTGAAGGAAGAACGTTCTTTGGGAAAACAAGGTAAGTTTATTCCGTCAAGTTTTTACACTGGTTCCCCATATCGTCGTCAGACTTGAGGTGACGTACAACGAACAAATAAAATGTCAGAAGTGTTCGGAAAATAACTGTTATCTGGCGCGAGCGTTAACTGACAGCTGCAATTTGCGTGAGTCAGTGCTGAAGAAAATTACTTGTCATCTGGCGTGTAAGACAATCTCAAAGACGAATGGAAGAAAAGAGAACCGATCGATACGGACTGACGTAAACTGCAGCTGTCAATTAGCGCTCACTCTAGATGGCTACTATTTTTTAGGACTTTTGACATCTTAAGTGTTCGTTGCATATCACCTCAAGGCTGACAACGATCTGGGAAACCAGCGTCGAATATTTACTGAATAAACTGACCTTGTTATCACAAAGGACGTTTTACCTTCGCATATTTTTTTTCTCCGCGTATCAGTGTTCTACGATACTGCATATTATCACTAAGGGCAGGGGTAAAAAATTTAAAGACTTTCCTTTGCCCAGACTGCTTGAGCAAATAAAGGGGTTTGCTCCAACTTTCATTAAAAAGTTCGTTATTAATGAGAATGAGTAGCAGTTTTGCATAAAACGGACATAGCGAATCGATTATGTATATTTTCAAAAGGTGTTTAGTTAACATAAAGCAAGCGTAAAAGGATGATGAATTGAGAAGTATTTGTATAACAAAAGTTTCCATCGAATACCATTATAGTTTCCGAAGCCGCAATTACTGCAGCTACTCAACATTGTCCCATGCTATGTAATCCCTGGAACACCGACGAGCCTACAACTAGGACTAATTAGCACAATGTGAAGCGATTGTATGCACAGCACTATGCTGCCCGGTTAACCGGTCAAAACTTTGCAAATCGAAATGCTAAACGCCACGTTTGAATACTTAAAACGTTACCCGTCAGTTTTTACGGCGAGTCAAAATTTAGCAGTTTAAAACTTACATCATTCCTTGATTTAAGAGTAAATCTCATTACTTATGCGCTCACTTTGGCCCGCTCACTTTCGCCAACTTTTTCGTTCAATTCACTGATCTAATCTGACCTCTTTTCTAGTAAACAACATTTTGTGTCTAAAGTTAATTCCATGAACAAAATATAAAAAACTACAAATGTGTGTTAAACCAACCCCTCACATTTAAATCTTCACACTTTACGAGTTAAGCAATCCATCGTTTTTTTCGACGTAAAACATAAGGTTACAGAGCAAGCGAACGTTAATATCAAGTTTTATCGTTTCTGTAGACAAGTTATTTCAAGAAACATTTCCATGCAACTTGGTAGTATAACTGGGAATCAACCTTAGATACTTTTAGCAGAGAACGGGAAACTTCGCAGTGTTGTTTAACAGCCTGAACCAAAGCAAACAATATTATAATTCTATGAAGAAAATTTAAATATACAAGCCTGCTTCTGGTAACGGCACAATTCTTAAAGGGCACAAAGCGAAATACATAATCCTTGCTGCCACAGGGTAGCAGAAGAAAATATTTAATTAATCAGTTGCACTCTAAAATATGTCAAAATGAATGTGGTAAGATATGAAAGCTTCTTTTTATCTTGGTTGCATCTGTATAAACATTCTAATCCAAATAAAAAGCCAAAAGTCGGAATAAATTAAACTGGTGAGGTTGATTTAGGCCTTTAGGTGACACCAGAAGTATTGCGTATTGTAGCTTTTTATTGTCCTCGGAAAATACATTTGAAGTTAAAGAAGCTACTTATATTAAAGGGTCTACTGGCGCAGACCCAAATATTAGGCCAGACTGTATCAGCCATTGCGGCATAACCGCGTAAGATTCAAAACCTGCAAACAGTAGTATAACTTGTGTAATTATTTACCATACTGGCAAAACAGGTACTAAATAAAAGCGCAGACACGTGTTTTGCCAATATTCGATAGCTGCATGACACAGCTGGGAAATTTTTGCTCATCGGCTGGTCCCTCAGTATTCCCAATTTGCTTTCTGCTAGATACTCCAGTTGTAAAATTTTAGTTTTTATAATTCCCTGAGAAAGTAATCCCCGACTTGAATTGTTATAATTATAAGCTGCCAACGATAGACAAGCAGTCTGTGAATATTCCGCGGTAATGCCGCGGTGTCTGATGGACGTCGGCCAAAATACTTGCACCAACTTGCCAGCTGCGCCTACGTATCGATAAAAGACGTGTCGTGGCTTTTAGATAGTACCTCTGCTGCAAATATGTTAAAAAAGTACATAAGGTACTGCATATATGGTACTTTCAAGGTACGGACGATGTAGCGTAAATCTACTATGACTTGAAACTAATTTAAGCAGAAATCATAGTCCCTACACCAGCATGTTGTGCAGCACACGGTGAACTTCGTCGTAATCGATGGTCGAACTGCTGGCAATTAAACTATAGGACAGAATGCTGTAAGAAGTCCTGCTCAGCGAGCTATGGTTTAAAAACTCGTACCGTTGACGATTCGTACAATACGCCAGAGTCGGAATAGTATGAGCAGTCCGGCTGCTTCAGCAATCGGAGCTGACTTCTCCTTGCCACCCAAGCACAGGGTGGAATTGGAGGTTCTGGCCTGTTTCTCCTCCAAAGCTGCATTTTCTTCCGCACGTTCGCGTGTGGTTAGGACTATTACGTACACATCGGCGGCAAAACTGAGGATGCAGACCAGGGCATCGAATGTCTCCACGCAACTTTTGAGGTAGTGTCGAATTCCATACATCCAGAGGTTCAGCGGAATTTCAAGGACGAAGGCGATCACGATGACAAGACTGGCGCATTCGACTCCGAACTTTGCATCTTCAAATTTTCTCGCAGTTTCAGCATCCTTTAAGGTAAGTAAGTACAGATTAGGTTCTGGATCTGACACCGTTACACTGCATGCCTAGTAGGCTCGGGCATAAAGTTAAAAATGTAAGTGCGTTGGGAAAAGTACGTAGTGAGAAAGAATGAAGTATGACGCCAATGTCTTTCAGACCTACAAATATCACTTTTCCCCAGAGCAACAACGCCCAATTGTGAGCCTTTTTTACCTTGTTCAAGTTACTGAAGATAAGAAATGAGAACTATGGGGGAAAATCAGCATAATAATCCCTCAAATATTGAGAGGTCTACCTTCCAAAACCCTGCAAAATTCGAATTATCGCGAAGTAATGTACGGATATATTAAATTTATGAGAGCATTCCGAGATGATATAATGAAGTATAAGAAAGGGGTCGTCGGAAAACTAATTTTCCAAGGAGCTTTTCTCTTTTTAGATAGGCGCAGACCGATCAGTTACTGGACACACTCGTCCGCCCCTGGAGCCTTTGGGGCTCTCACTCTCTAACCAGACCGCAAAGCGCCCAAGGAGGTAGGCAGAAGGACATTATGCAGATAGTATTGCCGGCAAATACCCGGGGACTGGAGCGGCGATTTCTGGCTTATGAGATTCAAAAGCAGAGCAGGACAAGTGAGTTCCGTTAACGGTCAAAGACCGTTTATCATAAACGCGTGGCAATATCTTCCGACCTTAAACGGGCAAGACATTGAGCCAGTGGCTCAATGGTCAAGGCGTTAGACTCTGATCGGAAATGCTGCAAGTTAGAGCATCGGGTGGTGGTGCAAC